AGCACATGCAGTTGCAAAGCATAGCTGAGCATGTTTTTTGAATAGCTAAAAAGTCCACATGACATGCTATGTGGTAATGTTGCAATTTCAATCATCAAAACCGTGGCAGTTGCAATATGCCTGACACTGACAGGTGCAAGCAGGGATTTTGTCCATGCTGCAGTGGAACCTTGCTGGAACCTGAGCAAACTTCAGGCATGACTGCAAAACAGACTTAACAGGACTGCTGCAAAGCAGTTCGGTAGACATGTGCTGCAAAACATATGTGATTGCAAAGCATTGCTGCAAAGCAGATACAACAGCACTGCTGCAAAGCAGTTAGAGATGTGCTGCAAAGCACATGCTGTTGCAAAGCAGACATGTACTTGTAAGAAAAAAAACTTGTACTAGTAGTCGTCGTCGTAGTAGTAGTAGTAGTAGCAGCAGTAGTAGTAGTACTAGTAGTAGTAGTAGTAGCAGTAGTAGTAGTAATAGTAGTAATAGCAGTAGCAGTAGCAGTTAGCAGTCGCAGTGCAGTAGTAGTAGTAGTAGTAGCAGCAGTAGTAGTAGTACTAGTAGTAGTAGTAGTAGCAGTAGTAGTAGTAATAGTAGTAATAGCAACTGTTGTTGTTCTTGTTCCTGTTCTTGTTCTTGTTCTTATTATTGTTTTTGTTCTTGTTCTTGTTGGTGGTTGTGGTTGTGGTGGTGGTGATGAATGCCAGCATGTGAACATCAACTTCACTTTACTTGGTTTGTGGGCAGCAAAGTGAATAGTATGTACATAAAAAGGATTGGAAAGAAATTCATTACAGCTTGCCCTATTGTGTTATCATTTACATAGGAGCAAATCCTTCCTTGCTTTAAATCTTATTGGAGAGGATTTAAGGGAAACAATGGTAGCTGACCTTCCATGTATTGTGTTTTGGTATTTGTTAAAGGCTTCACCACCCCTAGTCTTGAAATTTATTTGGCATTTTTTGTTGAAAGACTTGGCCTTTCAAGTGTTGCAAACCATGGCTTGTGTGTGTTCAAGGCGTGGCTTTCAAAACCTTCTCAACCGTGAATGCTTCAAGATTGTTTCAATAGTTTTTTTTGGTTTTCCCAGGTTTTTGGACTGATCAGTATAAAATATGTGTTTTGCATTGCATGACATATGTGTATTGCATCCTTCTTCCAACCTTGTCTTTGAAATCTTGCTTGGAAGTATGTTCATCAAGGTTTGCCACTCCAAGGCCAGGCATTGCAGGTACAGTTTTGATGTTTTTACACATACATATAATATATATATATGTGTATATAATTATTTGTTTGAGGCTAGTACATATACATATACATCCTTCCATGTGGAAGGGGATTGGGGCAGGCAAATTCCTGAGATTCCAATGTGACAACAGCTTGTGTCTTCTTAAAAGAATGACCATCCCAGGTCTTGCTGAGCAAGGGTATATCTGATAGGTGTAATGCAAAGGCTTAGTGTTCTAAGGTTTGTAAAATTGCTGGGTTGTGTTTCGAATGCCTTCACCCATGAAATGATCTTGAAGCCACATGACTGCATACTTGATCACAGCCATTTAGCTTCCAAATCAAACATTATACATTTCAAAGTCTACTTATTTTAATCCTTCCTATAATAGTTTTCTTTGGTTAGACAGACTAGAGCTGAGGCAGCCATGAGCCTCTTCATTCCAGTGTGCGATCCCAAGTCAAGGTGGCTGCACAGCAAATACAGTACAGGGCTGCAAGCAGTGCGAAATATGCAGTCACAACAGTGCTGCTGCCAAGCAGTTAGACATGTTCTGCAAAACACATGGAGTTGCTGCAAATCAGGTATAAAAGCATTGCTGCAAAGCAGGTGCAAAAGCAATGCTGCAAAGCACATGCAGTTGCAAAGCATAGCTGAGCACATACAAGTGAGCATGTTTTTTGAATAGCTAAAAAGTCCACATGACATGTATTGCGTAATTTTGCAATTTCAATCATCAAAACCATGACAGTTGCAATATGCCTGACACTGACAGGTGCAAGCGGGGGGTCTTGTCCATGCTGCAGTGGAACCTTGCTGGAACCTGAGCACACTTCAGTCATGTGTCGTCTCAGCACACTTGCTTCAGAGCAACCACAATGACACTGTGGCAAAGCAAGCACAATGATGGCAGACCTGGTACCTGAGCACATGAATGTAATGCCGCAATTCTTGAGTCTTAAGCTAGCTGAGGATCAATTGCTGATGGGCATTTGGGTCTGTCTCAGCATGAAATTGTGCCATTCAACGAGTAGACACCTCAATGCTGCTGGTGGAAAAGTGAGAGGTGTTTGCAAGCCAGAATGTTCTATGTCAAGTCTGTGAAAATCATGTTGTCAGTGATGTTCCAAACAAAGGCCAACATTGATCACAATTTGTTTTATGAAGATGATTAGTTTCAAAGAAATTGACTAGTGTAAAAAGAGTTATATAATTAGGTCTGAGTCTACACTACAAACTTGAATTTCTCAGTGATGTTGTTCAAACAACAGCCCACATTTGTTCACCCATTGTTTCATGGAAAGAAACTTTAAATTGTTCAATGGAAAATAATGCTGACCAGGCTCAGGCTAAAAGGAGCCAAGTCTCTGGACTGCATATTCTCAGTGTCTCTGGGTCTCATTTTCTTTCTTTTCTAGAAAAAAAGCCAACAGTTTTTCTTAAATCTTTTTTAAAGAAACTAAAAGTTCAAAGAAAGAAGCACTAACCATTGGGAAAAAAGAATCAAGTCTCTGGACCTCATTTTCTCAGTGATGAAAGTCAAAAAATATCTTTTTCACAGAGCAGTTTCATGAAAAATATGAGATTCCGGAAGGACACTGACAGTGCCAAGTCTCTGAACCCCATTTTCTCTGTGATGAAGTCTAAAACACAGAGAAAATGTGTCTTTTTCACAGAGCAGTTTCATAAAAAATATGAGATTCCAGAAGGACACTGCCAGTGCCAAGTCTCTGAACCCCATTTTCTCTGTGATGAAGTTTAAAAAAAACACAAGGAAAACTTTTTTTTCTCACAGAGCAGTTTCAAGAAAAATATGAGATTCTGGGAGGACACTGCCAGTGCCAAGTCTCTGAACCTCATTATCTTTGTACAGCTGCTGCTGAACACATCCAGCTATTTTTTTACAAACAGATTTTCATTAAGATAATGAGGTTCGAAGACTTGGCACTGGCAGTGTCCACCAGTGCCAAGTCTCTCAACCTCATTATCTTTTTACAGTTGCTGCTGAACACATCCAGCTATTTTTTTACAAACAGATTTTCATTAAGATAATGAGGTTCGAAGACTTGGCACTGGCAGTGTCCACCAGTGCCAAGTCTCTCAACCTCATTATCTTTTTACAGTTGCTGCTGAACACATCCAGCTTTTTTTTTTACAAACAGATTTTCATTAAGATAATGAGGTTCGAAGACTTGGCACTAGCAGTGTCCACCAGTGGCAAGTCTCTCAACCTCATTATCTTTTTACAGTTGCTGCTGAACACATCCAGCTATTTTTTTACAAACAGATTTTCATTAAGATAATGAGGTTCGAAGACTTGGCACTGGCAGTGTCCACCAGTGCCAAGTCTCTCAACCTCATTATCTTTTTACAGTTGCTGCTGAACACATCCAGCTATTTTTTTTTACAAACAGAGTTTCATTAAGATAATGAGGTTCGAAGACTTGGCACTGGCAGTGTCCACCAGTGCCAAGTCTCTGAACCTCATTATCTTTGTACAGTTGCTGCTGAACACATCCAGCTATTTTTTTACAAACATATTTTCATTAAGATAATGAGGTTCAAAGACTTGGCACTGGCAGTGTCCACCAGTGCCAAGTCTCTGAACCTCATTATCTTAGTGATGTCAAGTGGTTAGGCCAAGTCTGAGGAGGTGACTTTTGACCTCTAGACTTGGCACTGGCAGTGTGTGCCAGTGCCAAGTCTCTAAATTCCATCAAAGTAGCTTACCAAGTCTGTAGGTCTCTCTTCTAACCCTGAACATTTGGTAAGCTATTTTGATGTAACTTAGAGACTTGGCACTGGCAGGCACTGCCAGTGCCAAGTCTAGAGGGTTGACTCTGTGTTGCAACTCTTGGCACTAGTACTTGAGATCATTATGCCTCCACAGGTTTGCGGCTCAAAAGCTTATTGCTCCTAGGCTGCTTCACTTCATTTTCGACTATGGCTGCCAGCCGTCAGTCACCAGATGTCAAGCAGGTCTGTGACCGTATCATGCAATGGGCCATCGACAAGTTCACTGGCTCAGGGAACCCTGAGGTGGATGACGCAGTTGATTGCTGTTTGATGCTCAGATCATGGTCTTGTCTGTGACAGCATGTGCATCAAGCACAAGGTCTGATGTCAAAAAAATGTTACATTGTTGACTCAAGGTTCATTGTTAGCTAAAGCATCCATGAGATGAGTCCACTAAGGTCCCTATCTTGAGGACCAGTTTGGAAGTCATCATGGCGAGTTTCAGAGTGCTTTGAATGACCTGATGATCAGGCTTGAGAGGCTTGTTCCACGCTTCAGGTTTGAGAGGCATGCTGCAGCAACAGTTGTGCCAGCACCATCACTGGATTCCACTTCGGAAGAGGTGTGGTTGCAGCCATGGCACCTTGGCCTATCAGAACATAGCTTCAAGGGCCCTGCAAAGGCTGTGTTTGTTCTGAAGGTCCTGCGAGAATTTCTTGACACTCCCTATGACAGCAAGATGAACCCGATACAAGTGAGCTTCAACAAGTTGTGTCCTGGTGCGGGCATTGCACCTTTGTCTGTGAGCATCACAAACGGATTTACCAAGAGTGTGGCAATGAAGATTCTCCTCATTGCTGTCATTGAGTTGAATCTGTCAGATGGAGATATGATCCTGGCAGCTCCATTTCTGAGAGCCTGCTATGGTTTCCGATGTATCCACAAGACGTCCGGTGACCAGAAGACTGATCAGTTCAATTGTTTGGCAGAAAAGTTCAGTGAATCCTCAAGACCTCGGCCAGACCCAATTCAGGTTGCCTTCATGTTCAAGCAAATCCTTGCTCAGGCTGGTCAGACATGGAATGAAGGCATCGATGGTCTCATCCAGGACTTCAATGGTGGGAATTCGTCAGACCACAAAAAGATCTCACCGCTTGAGGCTGCTGTCATCAAGATGTTTCCAACCCTCCTGCCGGAAACCCAAGAGCTCATCACCTACCATTGGGGAAATTTCCAAGCCAAACAGTCTGGCCTGACACTGACAATGCTGGGCACTGACTTGCTTCGATCCTAAGCTTGCACTTAGAAAGATTAAACAATTGTTCAAAATACATCACTTTGAAAAAATAACATATGGTTCAAAAGCATCTTATAAATCAATCTGATTTGCTCATGGATGCCTTCTGGACCAGGAAATGGCTCCAAACCACGTGCTGCAGATGATGCCCTTTGGAAGACGATCTTTGCCCCAAATGAACACAAACGACACTGGTGGATTGCAAGGCGAGTCAGGTTCTTCCTGCACAAGTTGTCTGAGGCAAAGCGCCTTCGCAAGAAGGTAAACTTGGTCTCAGGGATCCAACAACTCCGTGACCCTCGACCTGATCATGAGGCCTGGGAGATGAGTTGTGTCTACAGCCACTTTAGGCCCATGTTTGAGAAGCTGCTCACCCAAGATCAGCTGGGGGCTGTGGACCAGAAGTTCATTCGTGGATACCTTGATGCTGAGTTCAATGAGAAATGCAAAGTCCAGTCGCCAGGGCTTACTGCAGCTGATTTCCGGTTTCTGAGTGAATTCAATGTTGCTGCTGCTATTTTGGGCCCTGCTGTTGATGAGCAGAAAGCCAATGAAGCATTGCAGAAAGCCGAAGTTCAAAAAGCAGTGGCTCGATTGCAGAAGGAGGAAGGAAAATTCCAAGAGTTTGTCGAGAAGCTTGAGACCTTCAACAAGGTGGGCTTGGGATTGCGAGCAGAGCTTGTGGAAAAGCAGAAAGAAAATCAAAGGCAGACTGTTGCTGCACACCAGGAGAGTGTGTATCCTGTGAGGGATCTCAATGAAGTGGGACATGGAACCACATTCTACGAGGCCTCCTTTCACCGTTTCCTTTCAGAGCAGGAATTGGTTCGGTCAGATTCAGGGCATCAGCTGAAGGTGTACTGGCTCAATTCCAGCACGCTGGGTTATGATGCTGTGAAGAACACTGTCTTGGCAGTCAAGGAGTACAGTGGTCTCATGGCATCCAAGCCAAAAGATTCCTGTCTCATTTTGGCTTGCCCCACAGTGGGGCCATTTGGCAACGAATATGTTGAAGATGAGATTGTATCACTGCATGCCAAACTGCTGGAAGTCTTGCGAATGCCTGAGCATCGCTTGGTGGTGCGAGAAGTGATGCTCATGTTTGACTTTGGCAGCTTTCCCCAGCAGTCCGGCAGACCTGCGGTGCACAAGTTCTACATGGCTGTTTCTGATTTGCGGGATACTGATGGAGAGTATGTGAGCGTCTTTGCGAAAAGTCCTGTTTGGAAGCGCCAAGTGATTCCAGCAATGAAGGATGTTGCTGTGCTCATGAACCCAGTGAAAAACTTTGTGGACCCGAGACGGGACTTCTCCACGGCAGCTGGCTCATTCGACCTGAGCCGTCCATCAAGGCGCAAACAGTGGCTGAGTGGTTGGAGTGTTGCCTCTGCTTGGCTGCAAGGCCTTCTGGTTGGGATGGGTTTTGACAAGTCCACCCCATGCACAGTGATCGATTCATTTGCGTATGACCATTCCATGGCAGAGGCAATCATGCGACTCTCATCCAACAGCAAGCTACCAAGTTTCCTTTATGTTGGTTTGGTCTGGGCGGAAGCCAACACACGTGAGGCTGCTGGGGCTGACAAAAGGGCTGACTCACTCAAGGTTGCAACCTGGCTCTCAGTGGCAATCAAGCGAAGAATCCAGGCCTTGGCCACAGAGGGCATCATTGTTGTTCCAGGGTGGGAGCCAGTTTCATCTTGGCAAGAGACCCGGGTGATCCCAACACTTGCCTCTACAGACTTCACGTGCTGTTTTCCATCTGCATCCAATGAGCTTCCCTTGCGTGCTACATTCCTCAAGACCATGGAGGAGAAGCTGTCAATCCCAGAAGTCCAAGAAGAATGGCAGAAGGTCATCAAGGCACACAATGCAAAATTCAACAAGGCAGGAGTTCCATATTCTGGAGAAGGATCTGGACCAAATGCAGCAGGGACTGAGGGATCGGAAGGGAACACAAGACAGAAACGCAAGCTTGATTCGGTGGAAGAGGCACCGCAAGGAAACAAGTTGCTGAAGCTCGAGCATCATGGCAAGGGCCATGCTATCTTCGATGTGGATGGCAATGTTTGGTTTCAGGCCAAGGATAATGCAGATGCTGCATTGGACCATGACGGACCACCTATTGCCTTGGTCTATGGGAACTTCAAGATCCAACAGGCACGGTCACAGTTGATCCGAGCATATGATACTTGTGAATATTTCTGGTTACTTACTCAGCCATCATGATTCATGATTGTCATGTAAGTTTCCACATCCGAAAATATGATACTTGTGAATGTTTATGGTTACTTACTCAGTCATCATGATTCATGATTGTCATGTAAGTTTCCACAGGAAGCTGAAAAGCTCCTTGAGACGCAGAAGGATGATGTGATGATGATTGGTTTCGAGGATGATGAGGGCAAGGGCGTCTTCCGTATGCAGCAAGAGCCACAAGGAACTCTCTGTTCCCTCAGGGATTTTTTGCTCAAGCTGGAGAAGGATGGTTCAGATGTCACTACACTTGATCTGGCATGTCACAAGATCGAGCCCCAAGTGAACAAGGAGAGATTTGCAGTGCTTTATTAAGATGTTTGTGATAGTGCTGTATCAAGATGTTTGTGATTTTGATTAGGCATTTCAATTGTGAAATTGTTCTAACTGCTGCTGCAACCTTTTGACCAGGATGAGGCGGGTGATGTGCAGAGTCGAACCTTCAAAGTGACGAAGACAGGGCCCTGTGTTTTTGTGCCAGCAGAAACACCGCGAAAGATTGCAAGTGCCAAACCTCCAACCTGGGAGGATGCTGGCAGCCTGGTTTTGGCATCAACCTCGAAGACGCGAAGCACTTTTGGACCTGGATACACCGACAAGACTTGTGTGCTTCAGGTCATGCCCCGATGGCTTGTCAGCAACAATGCACAATCCTTCTCTTTGACTCCTGAGAAGCCGGGACTCTTTGTCTCTGAGGATTCAGTTGTTCCAGCTGGGAAGATCAGCAAGCTTGTGTGAGATGCATTCAGGATTTTGGCAGAGCTGACAACCAGTGAAACATTTTCGAGGGCAACTGCCTAGATCCGAGAGCTGCCGAGCAAAACCAGTGCTGATCTCCAAGGGTGGGTCATGCTTTGATTTGCTACAATTGAAATTCACTAAGTTTTAGTCAACACCATTTCATGTCATATCTTGCTATTTGCCCACAGCAACCGTTAACCTTTCACCATTGCCATTGCCTTGTTGCTCATCATTTCCTGATGGTCAAATCTTGCTATTTGCCCACAGCAGCCTTTTCAGCATCCATTGCCTCGTTCTGTATCGTCACTTGTTCTGTAATCGTCATGGCTAGCTTGTTGGCGGAAAGTGGCTTAGGTATGGATGACGTTGACTGGATGGCAATGGATGACGAAGTTTCAAAGCAGATTCGCTCAGAACCACCAGCAGCCTGTGATGATTGGAGTTGGAGCACAGAAAAGAAAGAAGAGCCATTGCAAGGAGACAAGCAGCAATGCCTGCACAAAATGTTTCAGGAGAATCCTGGGGCAAACCGCCCTGCTTGGGCAGACTGGGCCAACCCTCGTGTTGCTGATCCTGCTCCTAGTCTTGGAGACCGTCCTCGCAAGGCATCTCGCCTCAGTGCATCTCAAAAGACTGCACTTGAGAAAAGCGCTGCAGCAGCACATGCTTTGGCCAAAAAGGCTGCTGATGAGAGTGAGATTGCTTGCCGCCGCTTGGCTGCAAATGCTGCTAAGCAGAAGGAGGAGACCAAGGTGCGTCAGGCAGGGCACCCAGAGAAGTTGGATGACAACTTGACAAAAGATGAGAAGAAGCCAAAGGATGATGTGAGCTCTGAGAAGAAGCCAGGGAATGATGTGAGCTCTGAGAAGAAGCCAGGGGATGCTGTGAGCTCCACCCCAATGCCAACTGGTCAGAGTGGTGGGGGCAAGCCCGTTGCTGATGCTGAGAAAAAAAGGGCTCCAAGGAACACAATGGGCACCTTTGCTGGCTACAGGCCACCTGCAGATCCAGAGATGCTGGAGTTGTTCAATCTCAAGAAGGAGCTCTATGGCAAGTCAAGGGATGAGATTGAAAAGATGTTTCCAGGTCGCAAGGTTGCTTTTGGCCGTTCTGTGTCTCAAACGGAGTACTACAACTTCCTGAAGAAGAAGATCAATGCCCTTCCCAAGAGTCCCAAGCCAACTCAGGCAGATGTGCGAGCTTGCATCAAGCAGGCCAGTGCTCAGTGGAGGGATAATGTAGCCAAGGCCTTCAAGAAGTAGTTTGGCTGCAACCATCTAGCTAGGGATTTGCTTGTCTGTCCATCAGACAGCATTTGTCTTTTGACATCAGTTTGAAACAGCTGATGCATGGGGACACTTTCGTAGCAGACCATTTGCGGGAGAAAAAATGCAGGGAATTTGCAAAACTTTATGGCAAACAGCATGGATGATGATGTGACAGGGTGAAGCAAAAAGTCAACACATGTGCCCCCACAACCCACACAGAGAATCATAACATGGCCAATTCATGCCAATTCACTTTGACAATAAATAACACTGCGTTGATTTTGATTGTCTGAGCTTCACCCAACTTCAATTTGCATGCAAGATTTTGGATCAAGGGTTCAATGGCAACTGGTGATGCATCCTTGGACCAATCCTGCTGTAGCTGAAGCTGATGAGAAAAACACATTGGATTGGCTGAACCCGGGTGTTGCTACATCATCCTCAAGTTTATCTAGCCCTTCAGTGCCTGACTGGTTGAATACACCTGTGGCAGTCAAAAGAGCATGTCCTTCAGGGGTGTCCAACCCCAAGCTGAAACAAGCCCATTGGCTGAATCCACAGGTCGACAGCAAATTTGATTTTACACCAAGATCAGATGCAGTGCCAGAGCCGAA